GGAACCGACGAGACCACGGAGTGCCGAGAATGAAGTCGTACCCCGTCTCCATCACATCGAAATGTGCAGAGGAGCGGTGGCGATGAGACGCCGGGGAACGATCAGTCGGCTCGAGAGTGAGGAAGAAGGGGAGGTCGGTGACCGTCTGATCGAAGAAGCGCTGGGTCTTGTCATCCCCTAGGGTAACGGAGATGGGAGTCGGAGACCCTGTCGTGGGTAAGCGGGCTTCCTTCACCACGCGTGGGTGAATGAATTCGCCCTGAGAACCGGAATCCCACAACGCTGAGTACACCCTCGTGGAGGTCCCGAGTCGTACTGGGATGATTGGGAGGGTGCGATCAGGATCAGAGAGGATGGCGAGAAGGCGACGCAGTGCAGCGACAAAGAGGGTGAGTCGCTCCTGACGAGCCTGGAGCATGCTCAAGTCCAGAAGAGAGGACACAATGTCCTCGCGAGTAGCAAGCTGCTCGCTGCAACGGGCTGAGCGAATGGCTCAACGCGTCGGTAGTCGCGGCGGGGAAGGAGGGGAGACGGTGGTCTGCGGAGGCGCAGACGGTACTTCGACAGAGGGTTGAGTACACTCTGTCGAGTCCTGSGATACCTCAACTCCAGTAGCGAGAGGGGCGAACCGCGACGGAGATGTCGGGAAGCCCACTACTTAGGAGGGCGCACGTGTACACTGCACCGTGGCTAAGAGGCGCTGCGGGGACGTGAGGCGCCGGGGGGGGACTGAGCACGACGCTGACGAGAAAGGTCGCAGCAGCTGCGGGAGTAGGAAGAAGGTAGGAAGGAGTTGTATAGAGTGCAGGGCGCGGAAAGCGAGCCTGCATGGGAGAAAGGGTAGTGGAGGTAATGGGTGCGCCCGAAGGCGCGGCCACCTGTGAGGGTGGGGTTGGCTGAAGGCGTAAGAGGGCGAGGTCGGCCCGGAGCTGGGCAATCTCGTCCGCGAGACCTCGAACGTAGGTCGATGGAGGGGTGGCAGGAGGAAGAGTGAAGGGGGTGGACGCACAAGCGGCACACGGTATCCCAGAGGGGGGAGAGCCAGGTGGCGCTGTGCGAAGGGAAAGGAGAAGTGGGGCACCCGGAAAAGCTGAAACCATTGTAGCGGGTTGTTGTACCGTGGCCGTAGTGACCAGGATCTGGGCGGGTGCGCTTGTAGACTGAATGGGGGCCTGGCTCGTGGCGGCCGTCGTGCTAGGGGCGTAGACAGTCACCAAGATGGCTGGGTCAGGGGCAACGGATTAGGAAGCTCCGCCGTGGCCACCCTGTCAGAGGACGGGGGACCCAGACTGGGAGCCAGGAGATGACGAACACGCAGCGTCCTGGAGTTGCTGCATGCCGGCGGCAAGGGTCGCCGCCTGCGCCTGTAAGGGCGCGAGGGTCACGAGTTGCGCCTGGATGGGTGCAAGGGTCGCGAGTTGCGCCTGGATGGGCGTAAGGATGGAGGTGAGGAGGATGTGTAGATCCCCTTGGGGCTGATGGTCCTATTCCGCCGGCACGGGTGTGGAGCCTGATGTTGTGGTCATCGTCGTGTCGGCGGCGTGTGACGCACCGTCGGCCATGAGGAGATGACGAACCAAACTGGAGGGGGCCAGAAGAGGTCCGCGTGAGCGGAGGGCGTAGGGGGAAGTTCGTGGTAGAAAGCGACGAACAGCGCTAGCAAGGCTAGCACGGGCGCCATTGAAGGGAGAGGGGAAGTTCGGGTCCAGGGTGCCCGAAGAGGACGAGGACGGACACCTTCCTTGGATCTGAGAGACTAAACCATTCTACTTCTGCCCTTCTGACTCTAAGTCTAGTCTATTTGGTTACGAGAGGAAGGCGGCAGGCGAGATTACAACCCGTAGGACCGCATAAAGACTTTGTGGGGAGTCCACCCACCGATTGCGGGAGCTCTGCTGGGACTCAATGGCAGGAGTTCTGGAGGCAGGGAACTGAGTGGTAAATTCCTGACTTCCTTTATAAACCCAATTACAACCCTTACCTGTACACCTTGCTATGTTTGACTGAGTATACTGTATGCTCCCTACCTTTTACTTTGGGTTTAACTTTCAGGGCATAACCCAGCCTAAGTAAAAGAATGCATGCACAATTTTCAGTTTCATTTTTTGTTGGTTGTCCGAAAGCAGATTGTTAAAAGGGATTGCATCAAGAGGAAGGCTGGGAGGAAGGCAGTTTTGCTTGTGCTTGAACGGGATTTATAGAGTCAGGCATTGCTTCTAAGATGATTGGTCTAACTGCTATGTTTTCTTCTGTTTTCTGAAGGACCAAGCATTGTTTCTAAGATGGATGGCTTGGTCGGTATGTTTACTTAATTTAACCAGGCATTGTTTTTAAGATGAATGACCTGGTTGTTGTTTCTCTGGAAATATTGATTGTGCAAATTTTGAGGACCAGACATTGTTTATAAGATGAATGGTATGGTCGCTCTTTATTTTTGGGTGGTTTCTTAACAGTCTCTGGGTCTTGACCCGGGGGACTCTGTTTTTTTTTGTATTGAGAAAAGAGGGTTGAACATTGTTTCCAAGATGAATGACCCAACTCTTTCAGTTGTTTATTCTGAGGGAGGTTCAAGCCAAAACCTAGACATTGTTTCTAAGATGAATGGTCTAAGTCTGAGGTCACATGATTATAATGTGAACAAAGACTTTCGATATTTCTATATCTATATGTTTATAAGAACAAGGCTAGCCAGACATTGTTTCTAAAACGAATGGTCTGACTATAGCCTTATCATAAATCAAGAGAGTATAACTGAAAGTTATAACTGAAGGTAATTTGGGTCGGTTAAGCATTGTTTCTAAGATGAATGACTCAGTCCTACGCTTATTTTTGAAGATTGAGTTCAGAGAAGTATATATAACTTGGTTATTTAAACAAATCAGGGTGACTAAGCATTGTTTTTAAGACGAATGACTTAGTCATATGCCCAATGAAGAGAGAAGTAGTTGTGCAACCTGTTCGTGTATAACTAAGGCAAAGAGTTGACATTGTTTCTAAGATGAATGACCCAACTCGAAGCCCTATGTAAGATGGGTATAAAGGGATAAATCATTGAAAGGCTATGAACTATTGGTTGCCAAGATTTGACTTTGGTTGGTGAGAGTACATAACCTTTGTGGTTTGACCTTGCATGTGGCTGAATGAGATCACTACTTAGTTTGAGTTTCAGTTTGATAGGTAGTTGCTTTAGAGGTTCGCCACGTGCTAGTGCGATAGGAGTTAGTTCAAATTTCTTTATTTTCTGAGCCAAGTTTTTTTTACTTAAATCGATTTCTGCATTTTCCGGGATCATTTATTATACTTGGGCTTGTATAAATCTTGGTAAGCCACTTTCTCTACATGAAGCGTTGCTGAAATTTTTGCAAATCCAACGAATTAGTCAAAATTTGACTTTTCAAAGTTCAACTTGTCTAAATTTTATATATGACTTAGTAAAAATCTAGAAAGTCTCCTTTTCTAAAGGGAGTGCTGCCAAAATTTTTGCTAATTCAAGGAGTTGGACAAAAATTGGACTTTGGAAAGTTGAAGACTATTTTTGTTTTCGTATTCAGGCTGATATAAATTTTGGAAAGACACTTTTCCTACAGGAAGCGCTGCCAAAATTTTTCGTAGTTTAAATGAGTTAGAGTATATTTTGACAGGTGGCAATTCTGGCAATCCATCCTGAAATGGGGGAAATGCTGTCATAGGTCTGCCTTGAGTTGGGCACTGGCTTAGAGGTAGCACTAGGCTTAGCTTGTAGAAGGGTCTTGGGTGAGAATGTGTTATGGAGCTGTATTCTCCATACCCTTATGATTTTAGCTTGAGGATTCATCTGTCTTGTGTTTCAGATCTTCTTAATTGATTGATTCACGACTTGCGCTAGATTCAGCGCGATCCTACGAGGATCATCTTCTGTTATCATTATTAATAGGTCGGTTGTCGATTCGTGGGTTTACGATTCAACTCCAATCCACTCTTGCCACTCAACCTAAAGGCTTTAGCCCTATGGTTTGGAATGTTTCATTGTGTTTTTACCTGGTCTTTATTGAATATTGTCGGAAGGGTGCACTAAGGTTGAGGTTTGTATGGCTAAAGCAAGGGGTGTGAGCGCAGAGAATGGTTGAAGTTGACCTCGTGTAGTGCATGGACTTTGGTTAAATCTTGATGTGATTGCAGG